CCCCAAAACCCCAAAACCCCAAAACCCCAGGAGCAAGAATAATATATTCATAAAATAAATCATGAAGAATAAATAAATATTAATGAAAATTTATCTAATAAATAAAATTTAACTCTTAGTTTTTCAAATCACTCACACACCCACTTAAGCAATCACACTTACTCATCTCTAAAAATAAACAAGTTCATTTTATTACTTCACTCCAAACTCTAATCTTTAGCGAATACCTTGATAGGCTCGTGCATAGCGACCTGTAGTACTTGAATCTATTCCTCTTCCTCTAACTCTAATTCAAACTCCATTTCTTTAGTATCTCTATTTTCCCCCTATATTGGCGATAACTGATCCATGTTGTGCACCGAGTTAATGCGGCTAGCTCTTGGTTGATTCTCATGAGTCATGTATATCTCTGCATTTTGTTTTTAAGGTGAACTGTACGAAGCATCTTCGAAAGGGTTAGTATTCTCGTGATCGTTAGAATCATCATTTCTATGAATTTATTTATCATTTTGATGCTGATGGTGGAAATTTTCATCTATATTTTGGGCTCTGAAGCTAACTTACTTCAGATCTTAATTTATTTGCTTTTCAAGCTAATTAAACAGCTGTGTATCGCTTAGCTCCTCCTTCATTGGTGTTCCGATGTCTAATTCTATTTTTTTACTACTATGATGACTTTCATCATCCTACTCATGGAAATGACTACTCAGATTTTAATCGTTATGAAAGCTATCTCTATTACCAACATCGTTATCCTGAAATTGTGACTGAATTTCTTGCTTTTTATCAAAATCTAGTCTTTACTCAATAGCAAATGATGACTTTAGGTTCTGATCATCATCAAATATTTTTGCTGGCTATACTAAGTACTAGGCATTATTAGGTTGAATCTCAAAGTCATTATAGGGTTTTATTTCTTATTATTTAGCTAAATTATTTTGGGGCTCTTTGTTTGCAATACTTTAGTGATAGCCAACACTCTTATTATCAGCTAGATTTATCATTTTGTTATCTACTTGCTCTGAGAATCTCTTAGCAAACATATTCTTTTCATCAACCAAAGTCTTAACTGCATAATCATTTTTGGATGACAGATCGTGAGTTGTTGATTTTTGAGGTACCGTTTCATTTTTACCTATATTTCTACCATAGGGATTGTAATTGCATCCCTGTCTCACCTAATCTAACTCCTCACGAACTAATTGCTACAAACTGTGATACTAATAGTCAATGTCTGATTGTCTTCCATATGAATCTTTAGTATTAGCAAATGTGGGTTGTGATTATTAACCCCCAATGCTTCTTTTCACCATCTGTATTTTCTATTGACCTTATTTACCTTAGCCACCCATTCTGTATTTCTATGGTTACTTTTTTGATTATGATGATTTATCTGTGATTCCTGTGCTTGATTTCTTGCTGCTTGATAGATATGCATTTTATGTATACTGTTGTCTCTTCAATCTCTGTTCATTATCAAATTGGAGTCTTTTTACAACTTACTAAACAATTTCTTCTTACTATTCTTTACTGAGATCTAACTTGATGCCAGAGAATGGAGATCTCTTTATTTCTTCGAGAGTTTCTTACAGTTTTTACTATGCTTTCTCTTAAATAGTCATAACTCTCTTGTATTCAAGATCCTTAAATCTGTTCACCATATCTTCTTATTGTCTCCTGCTTCTGCTGCTTAATCTGCTACTTGGTGTCATTGATCTAGCTGCTGAGCCAGTTCTATCATTTAAGTTAAATCTTCTATTATTCCTAGGTGTAGCATGTTTGGAATTCAGCAAAGCTTCTTATTCTAATGTGATATCTCTTGAGTTTATGTATTTACTTTAGCTTTGAAACATGTTTAGAGTCTTATTGATCGGACTAACACTTCTACCATCGTCCTTGTCCTTTTTGATATCTTCCATTCTTTGTTTGGTAGCTATTCTCCTTTCATTATCTTTTAGCAGTCTATCAAATATACTAGCATTTGTGTTGGATATGGATGTATCCATTGCATTTTTATTATTTTTAGATTTATTATATGCTACACGATTATTATTTGACTTGCTGGCTGGTCTAGATCTTAAATTAGGAATATTCTGATACAAGTTTGAAGTAGGGAACCTTGTTGGGGTTATAGATCTAAATGATGTAGGAGTAAGACCTTGCCTTGGAGTGCTAACTAATCTAGGTTTTTACTAGCTTCCGAAATTGATCCAAGGGTTGTCTTTTTATTTAGTTGTTAAAGGGGTGAACGAAGCTCTCTGCCAATCAACCTTATTGTTGACAGATTAAACATAGCTTAAATTAGGGACGAATTTCTTAGTCTACTCCAAAATACTGCGGAGACTGTGTGTTTGGCTTTGCTATTGCTTAGTTGAAATTGATGAAGTGTGCTTTTTCTTTGTTGAGTCTCCCTTTGGTTTTGACATTTTGTTACTCGGACTATTTATTTTCAGCGGAGTGCTTTGGATTGATCGGTAGTAGTCAGGATAGGAAGATACAGCTTATATATAATGCTTTTTATCAGTATTATTTTAAGAGGTTTTGAAGATTTTAGATTGTTGCCTGCTGTTTGTGTAAGTATTGTGGCTGCCATTATTAGAGTAAAGTCCAAGATTTTTCAACTTATTTGAATCTCTCTAGTCTTTCTTTTTCTTTGAGAGTTTCTCTTGAATTTACTTAATACTTGAGGGCTATTAGTTAAAAGTCTGACTCATCTTCCTTTACTACTCAGCTAGCTTTCTCTTGTGATAATCTAACTCATCTGGCACATCTACGCTTTCCTCTTCAGAAGAGAAGTTAACTTCATTGAATGTCACATTAATGTTCACAGTATTTGGGTTTCTATCTACTAAACCAGCACCAGCCGATGCTGATGTATCAACTAACATGGGTTATTCACTAGAAACCAACACTCTACAAGCATTAATAAATCGATAATATACTTTCTGCTAGGTTGCAAATGAGGATTTTGAGACTTGCCAATCTATTTCATAATAAAATTTCAATTTAAAGATAAAAGATAAAATTTATTTCTCTTAAAACATAATTCATTAAAATATCATAAAATATTGTAAATAATCATATTAACGGGGTTTTGGGGTTTTGGGG